GACCCTGGTTTGGAGACCATGTACCAGGAGCTCCAGGACTGAGCTGAGGTCATACTTTTTATCTCCTGTGATGGATATTCATGAGAGCAGAATTCATTTCTGGAGTCAACTGTCCAAAACAAAATCGATGCTTCCGATTGGATGAATTTCAAATTTCAAACCCAGGTGGATCTGCAGTCTCACACTCAAAGAAAATCTAAATTTGAAGAGCATATTCCTTGTTGGAGTAACTTTACAGTCGTACATTTATGCTCCATTTTAATGTAAAGGCTGAACAAAATGGCTGCTCCTCTTTTTGCTGGAAAACACATTTTAAAGTGTCTGGTGTGGGAATGTATAGAAACCTGTCTGTTACTAGAACCTGATCACATTTCCTGATCGATTTTCCTCCATTTTGCTTCCATTTTAACACCACTAAGTCTGTTTCCTAGAGGTTTGTAATAACCTCTAAGCGAACCTTCATATTCTCTTTGTCAGAACATTTGAGTAGAACTTCATCTTTTGTATTTGTGTGAACTTCATCCACGAGTTTCTCTACATTTTCTACAACAGACTTAGTCACAGTGGTTGTTCCACCTCAGCCAATCAGAGATGTGTCCTGCTTAATCCTTTCTGGTTTGGAAACCATCAGCTTTCTCTCAGTAAGAACCAGGATGGCTCCTCCGCTCTTCAGAGGAAAGCTTAAATGACTGATCTACTGTAGAATTAGAGCTCCTTTCCTCAGAAACAAGAAGCTCTGTGGTGGTTATGAAGACGTCTTCCAAAAGCCTGAAAATGTGCAAAATCTCTGACAGCAGCCATCTTGGTCACGTGACAGTTTGGATTTCAAACCGGGGCAAAAGCCCTAAAAAAGCTAAAGACGCTCAACCAAATCTTTGAGAGGAAATGGCTAAAAAAAAAACATGCTTCAATGTTATTTTTTAGCTTTTTCCTCTCAAAGATTTGTGGTTTGATTTGTTCATTTTTCATGATGAATGCTGGTCTGGTCTGATTGTGAGAGATGCTTTGAAAAGCTCCTCAAAGGCTTAAATGGAGGACTTAGACTAGGAGGGAACGAGTCCACAGCTTTCTGTCTGTTGAAGGTTGTAGTACGACAGAAGAACATTTTTCTGTGGAGCAAAAATAAATCACAACAGGAGCAAGAAGGAGCCAAAAGGAGCCATAAGGAGCCATTAGGAGCAAGAAGGAGTATGATGGAGCAAGAAGGAGCATGAAGGAGCCAGAAGGAGTATGATGGAGCAAGAAGGAGCCAGATGGAGCAAGAAGGAGCATGAAGGAGCCAGAAGGAGTCAGAAGGAGCAAGAAGGAGTGTGATGGAGCATGATGGAGTATGATGGAGCCAGATGGAGCCAGATGGAGTAAGAAGGAGCAAGAAGGAGTAAGAAGGAGCCAGAAGGAGCCAGAAGGAGCCAGAAGGAGCGTGATGGAGCAAAAAGAAGCCAGTAGGAGCAAGAAGGAGTCAGAAGGAGCCAGAAGGAGTCAGAAGGAGCATGATGGAGCATTATGGAGTATGGTGGAGCCAGAAGGAGCAAGAAGGAGCCAGAAGGAGCCAGAAGGAGCATGATAGAGTATTATGGAG